AAAAGAAAACATGTTATCTAGTATTTGCCAGGGCTTCCCCGTGAGGACATTGAGTTGCAGTGTTAAAGATGACAGAGCACAGTCCCCAGTGGACTGTCCATTTGTAAAATTAGCCTCTTGAAAATCTCCCTCCCAGCTTAATTCCATCAACTGTTTGTCACCTCTTGCATTATTATCTCCCACTGACAGTCACATGCTGTGGGCCGAGGGATACACTTGAATCAGCTCAGGCCTCTTCTGTCTTCCTGCTCCACACCCTAGCTGGAGCCTAGGAGATGAGTCAAGACGTGCCTTCCCCTAAGTACTGGGGCCAGCCCCACCTGAACCCCATGGACCGAAACGAGGGTGGGAGAGGAAGAACATCAAGATGTCATCAGAAGAAGGGAAATGAATGTCGGATAATCAAAATCAACTGGTGTCTGCCATTCTTGGGTTCTTGGGGTTGCCTTTGAGGCAGGGAAGGGAGCAGTTCTCCATCCAGGAGTGGGAATGGCACCAGCCTGGGAGTCAGGAAACCTGGTTCAGGTCCCAGCTGTGCTGCTCTCTAATTATGTGACCTTACTCGAGCATGTTCTTTCTGTCCCTTTGGCCTCAGTGTCCCCATCCATGCAAGGGGTAAGGGAGAGTGTTCTACTCTGATGTTTCAAGATGCTATAGGCTCTTTACGTGTAGTCCTTCAACTAGTACCTGGAGAGAGAAGTCATCCAGAAAGGGTTTTCAAGAAGGGAAGTGCTCAAATGTTGTGCCTTGGATGAGCTTTTGTGGTTGAGAAAGTCCCTGGCAGCAATTCTCTGAGTTTCTTCCCACTCAGGTCAGCGTCTAAAGTCACAGCTTCTGTGGGTCATCACTCTGAAGCTAAAGCCCTTCCAATTTTTCTTTTCCCTCCAGGCATCACCACATCGGCCTCTCCGAGTGTGTCTCAGCTCTTCGCAAGGTGAGCACCCTGGCCCAGCTCCTTCTGCCTCTGTCCCTTTCTCCCCCTTGCTGGGCAGAGGCTCTGGGGCCAGAGTCCCGGAGGGGAGTCCCAGCACCAGCACTTCCCAGCTGAGCCACCTGGAGCACGCAACGCCACCTCACGGGCCTCAGTCTCCCCATCCGGAAGAGGGGGACCATCACGATGCCTGCCCCATGAAATGAGCTAGAACATTCAGAAGGGCTTGGGATGGAGCCTGGAGCAGAGTGTTGAGTGTTGGCTGTTTTCGCCCTTCTTCTCTTTGTTCTTTTTGTTAGTCTTTCCTTCTCTTTCCCTCCCCTTCCTCTCCTTTCCCGGGCAGACTCTTTCTCAGTTCTTCCCGTCCTCCCTTCATCCCTGCCTTCCTCCTTCCTTTCTCCTCCCTTCTCTAGTCTGTCTCCTCCTTGCCTCCCTGTCCTGCTCTCTCTGCCTCCCTCTCGCCTTTGCCCCTCTCCTCCCTCTTTCATCCTCTCTTCCGGTGCCAACACCCACCCAGCACTCCTTCAGGCCACATTCCGCATGGGACCCCGAGTCCCGGAGATGGGTGAGGTGGGGCCCTTGCCCTCGGGGAGCTGCCCATCGAGGGGAGGAGACAGGCCAGTAAAGCAGAGACCCCCCTCACATGGGCGGTCAACATCAATGCGCCACCAGCGGTGTGCAAGGGGCAGAGGGAGCTCCCTGATGGCCACGGCTCACTGAGAGCCCTCGGGGAGCTGCCCACCTGCAGCCCGCAGTGTGGGAGGCCCTGTGGTGGGCCCGGCCTGGTGGCCAAGGCGCCCTCGGTCTAGAGGGTCCTCTCCTCCTGATGTGGACGTGCGCTTCCCTTGACAACACTGGAGAAGCTGCTTAGAAGGAGCACACTTTCTCGGCCTTCCTTTCCCTGCAGATGTTTTGGGGGTTGTTAGTAGCAACAGAGGTCTGTCAAATGTATCTAAACTTCTCTTCAAGGTCTCGGGGTTCTGCTCCTCTTTCTCAAGGGGGAAAGGGCTTCTGATGGGAAACCGGAGTGGAGCGCCTTCTGGTTCCAAGGACAGGTGTAAATTGGGAGCAGGGTCAGATAAGGTTCTGTGCTCAGCACTAAGTGCCGACCCTCGGCACTCACCCTCAGGTGCTGCACCGAGTGGGACACTGGTGGATGAAACCCTCCAGGACTACTGGGTCTGGCGTCTCCAAGTCAAATGAGTTTGTCACGCACTTTGGAACAAGTTCCCCCACCTTCTATCACAGTAGTAGTCGAAAGGAAGGGCAGGAGAACATCTTTTTGTAATTCCGTAAAGTTTTATACCCATCTCACACCTGCCATGAGCCTTCTTATAGAGGAGGAGTTCCAGAAACGAACAAGTTTTAACTAAAGAGATGTAACCAGAATGGAACCCGACCTGGAGTTGGGGATCTCATTACCATCTACTGGCAGGCTCTCTGGTTAGAGCAGCTAGATACGGGATGTGGGGTACAGATGGCCCTAGTGTCCAGGTGTGGGAGCTCACAGGAGAGACTGGCACCAGGGACTGGTGAAGGGCATGGCCTCTGCATCAGCTGTGCGCGTTTGGTAGGTTCCTTAGTCTCTCTCTCGGCCTCCGTTTTCTTATCTGTAACCTGGGAATAGGAATAGGAACTGCCTCCAGGGGTTGTCATAATTGTTACGAGGTTTAAATGAGCCAATACGCAGAAAGGAATTAGGACAGTCCCTGGTACGTAATAGGCACAAACATTTTTAGCTGTTTTCATTACTAAAGGAGGTGGACCCTGTAGGGGCTGTTGCAGACGGAGTGTAATAGAGAAGTGGTCGCTGCTCAGATGGGTTGATAAAGTCATACAGGGGTACAGACCTAGGCTTGCTAAAGCTTCTGCTTTGTAGAGGTGTGTGTGAGAGAGAGAGAGAGAGAGAGGGAGGAAGAGAGAAACCTCATGGTTTGAAAATAATAGTGATGAATTCAAATTTTAAAAAATCAATAACTGCACTAGCCAAAGAAATTATATCCATGGATCCCTGGACCACGTATGGCTCCTGGGCCACCATCTTGTCCCCTTCCTGCTAGAACAACCCACCTTGACTTTACTTATTGCTGCCTATAGGGCTGGGTCAAGCTCAGTCCTCTAAGTGAGAAGCAGCACAGTTACAAGTGTGGACTCTGGAGTCGGAGTCCGAGTTTAAATTCTAAATTCCCCCACTTTCTAGCTGTGACTTCAGGTCTCTGAGCTTTGGTTTCCTCTTCTCAAAAATGGGAGTTACAAGAAGCCCTACCCCAGAGAGCTGATGTGAGCATCCAATGAGATACACTGCATGTATCAGGTCTATGAGACAAAATTCGAGCCTGTGGTAAGAACACAGTGGTTGGAAGCACCCATTACAGATGTCTTAGGAGGTGGCCCTTTAAATCCTAGGCCTTTATGGAACCTGTCATTCACCATGGAGAGAATTCATTTGTGTCCCTGGGTTGCATGTAACAGACTATAGGCTCCAGCTGATGTCATCCCAAAAGGACTTTCCTGGAAAATCTGGAGTAGCTTCCAGTGTAAGTGAAAGCAGAATAATCAGACCTTGGAAAAGACCAAGAAAAGGACAGCTTCTGTGATCCAAGCAATAGGAAGGAATGAAAAGACAGGGTCTTTGGAGTGTAGCTGCTGGAGTGAACTGTTCAGCCCAAGATTTAAATCCCCAAGACAGAATCTGATTGGATGCTCTTCCATCACAAGTCCACCCCTTGGCTAAGAGCAGGACATCAATTGGGAAGGTGTCTAAGGGTAGATAAGATAGGACAGATAGGCTGCAGTCATCAGTGGTGTGGACCCAGTGACGTCACACAACAGAGGCTTATTTCTTACTCACTGAAAGTTCAGTGTGGATTAAATGAAACTCCCCAGGGCAGGTGTCCTCTACGTGCTGACGCAGGATCCGGGAGATAATCCATACTATAGCTCTGCCACCTCAGTCTTGACAGTTGCCACCCAAAGAGGAGAGAGGACAGGAGGGTCGCAGGGGATGGTTTTATTGGCCAGAACTGGGAGAGGCTTATACATTCTATGGGGCAGAATCCGGTCACATGGTGGAATCTGACTGCAAGGCAGACAAGAAGTAAAATCTTCCTGGTGCCCAGGAAGAGGAAAATGAAATGGGATTTGATGAACACGTAAGTTGCCTCTGCCCTGGAAAGAGCAAATACCCAAAGGAAAATAAGGAGGAAGGGATGCTGGGCTGGGTTTGGATTAATCTTCTCTCTTTCCATGCAGACCTTGCCCACACATCCTGCCCAGCCAGCCTGCCACGGCCATGGCAGCCTACGGCCAGACACAGTACAGTGCGGGGATCCAGCAAGCTGCCCCCTACACCACCTACCCACCTCCAGCACAAGCCTATGGAATCCCTTCTTACAGTGAGTACCAGACCAAGCCCTGGCTTTCCCGCTGGGGTCCCCAACATCATGGTCTTTCTTCTGTCCTGTTGCCTCAGTTAAATGCGAAATGGCAGATGCAGCCAGGCTAATTTTGGGTTGGAAATAGAGGGAAAAGACAGACATATTTAAATATGGTTCTAGTTCAACGAACTATATCATGACCTCTTTTGATTGCAAGACTAAGAAACTTAACCCAAGCTGGCTTAGGAAAAATGGAAATTTAATGATTCACATACTGAGAAATCTAGAGGTACAGTTAACATCAAGTGTGGCTGGATCCAGGTGCTCAGATGCTGTCAAAAGGAGTACCACATCCTGCTCCAGGTTCAGATGTTTTCCTCTGAGTTGGCGCCAGTCCCACAAAGGTTCTTCCCATGTGGCAGCAAAGATAGTGCCCATCACTCTGGGTCTGTATCCGTTCAGCGCTCCACACCCAGTGGAAGGAGAGCGCCTCTTGCCCAGCAGTCCCACCAGAATCCCTCGCAGCCCTTGTTGTCCCAGACTGGGTCACGTGACCATGTTTCAGTCTAGGCCAGGAGGTCAAAGTGTGAGAAATAAGGAGGCTGAAGCATGTGGATTGTATCTGAAGGAGAGATGGTTCTCTCAAAGGAAAATTAATGGATGCCAGGAAGACAAAAACAACAGACCTACAGGCCTTGACTGTGAGAACCTTCCTGCTAAGAACCAGAGAGTCAGTGAGCCTGGCCCACCACCCATGCTCACCTGCCCCTGTCTGTACCGGTCAGGGTTCTCCAGAGAAGAAGAACCAATGGAATGAAGATATCTATGTCTCTACATCTATATCTAAAGAGAGAGAGGTATCATAGGAATTCGTTCACCCAATTATGGAGGCTGAGAAGTTACAAGATCTGCAGTCGGCAAACTGGAGACCCAGGAAAGCCAAAGGTGTCATTCCAGTTTGAGTCCAAAGGCCTGAGAACAAGAGGGCTGATGGTGTCAGTTCTGGTCTAAAAGCATACAGGCCCAAGACTCAAGAAGGGCTGACTTTTCAGCTCCGGTCTGAAGGCAGGAAAAGACCCATGTCCCAGCTCAAGCACTCAGGCAGAAGGAGTCCCCTCTTACTCAGCCTTTTTGTTCTATTTGGGTCTTCAATTGGTGAGATGAGGCCCATCCACATTAGGGAGGGCAATCTGCTTTATTCAGTCTACAGATTCAAATGTTAATCTCCTTCAGAGATGCTCTCACACAGATACACCCAGAATAATGTTTGACCAAATGTTTGGGCACGTTGTGGCCCACTGAGGGTGACACATAAAATTAACCATCACACTGCCTCTGGCTGTTACTCATGGTAGTCCTGCCCATCTTAACTGATGTATCAACCAAAAACCTTTTGGTAGCAAATGACAAAAACCCAGTGTTAATTAGCTTAAGGAAATAAGGGTGTTTATTGCAAACACAGCTGAACATCTTAGGGTACTAGCTTCAGGCAGAGCTAAATCCAGGTACTCAAGTGATAATATGAGGCATCAGTCTCTCTGCTTTCCTTTGGAAGGTTAAGCTTCAGTCTCAGACAGGCCTTCCCACTGGGGTACTAAAGCCAGCCCCAGCAGTTCCAAGTTGTAACTCCCCCCCAAAAGAGAGCTTCTCTCATCCAGGACTTTCTGCACCATCCTGGGGATTCCTCCGACTGGACTTCCAAAGCCATAGCTGACCCAGACACTGGGGCAGAAAAGATAGAATGCTCTGGATAGGCCACATTGGGCCACATGGAACCAAGAGTTAGAGCAAACTCACACAAGAAAAAGAACCGACCTGAATGTGAGGTAGGGGAGGAGGAGGGGGCAGATAGAAACCACAGATGTCTAGTGGACAGAAGGTCGGATTGGTAGGCAGGAGACCTAGCTTCCAGGCCCAGCTGCCTCTGATCTGCCCATGCCTCAGTTTCCTCAACTGTTACATTAATGTCTCATGTCATCTTCCCAACCAGGTGGTGTGGCTTGAGTGCAGAGACCCAATCTTGTATTTTTTTTCCTCCCTTTTCTCCCTCTCTACTTCTCTGTTCATGTGTTCATTTATCATTCATTCATTCCTTCATTCCTTCATGACATTGGGTCATGTGCTAGGCACACAGAGGTCAAAAAGCAGAATGGGCCCTCCCTGGAGCTTATAGTCTGGAACAGAGGCTGAAAAGCCAATGGGTAATGTGGGTAGCTCTCTTAACCTATAAAATACACTTGGCGTTTTAAAAATTGCCCATTTTATAATGTGAAATGCTAACATAAAAATTTATATTTCTAATGTCTTTAAAAAGAGAGATGATCAGGCAACACTGAGCCCACAGTTTCTGTGTTGGGAATAGGTGGCTCTGAGTAGGGCTGACCCCATTAGCCTAAATTCATCATGCTCCCCACCCAGCCCACATGACTCATTTGAATTTTCTGCCGGTCCTCTGAAGACATTTGAGTTTGCAACCCCCAGCCTAAAAGGAGAAAAAAAAATTAAAGATGTAAAAATCTTTATGTGTTTCAAACTATGATGCGTGATATAAGGCAGAGAAGTAGGTCATGAGAAAAAACAGAAGAAGGAAGACTTCATCTAGGATCCGGCATCAGGGAGGTCTTTTAGATGAGGAGCTGATTCAGCTAAGAACTGAGACAGCATCCAGGCAGGGGGACCACCCATGGGAAGGCCCCTGAGACGGAGAGGAATTTGGCGAGTCCAACAAGCCCAGTAGCTGAAGCACAGTGGGGGATGAGGTAGGAGAGGTAGGCAGAGCCCTCAAGGCCTGAGAAGCATTTGGGATTTTATTGCAAGTGAAACGGGAACTCATTGGCGGGTTTATAAGCAGAGGGCTATATTCTACAGTCTGGGTTTTTTCAAGATCACTTTGGCCACTGTGGGGAGCCTGGATCAGAGGGAAGGAAGAGGGAAGCAGTCAGGCCAGTGGGAGACCGAGGGAGCAGGTAGACGGGGTGATGGTGGAGGCCTGGGGCAGGACAGTGCACAGACTGAGGGAGACAGATACAGGAGCAATTCTAGAGATAGGAGTGATGTGTCCTGGGAGAGCAACAGGCCAGGCGTTGGTAATAGTCACCAGCGTGGAGTGGCTGCCACCCCTGGTCCCTCAGTGCTCTGTGTCCTTACCAGGGAGGGTAAATAAATTGCCCAGGTCGCCCAGCTGGTTGGTGGCATTAAACCCAGGCAGCCTGGCCCTAGAGCCCAAGCTCTTAACCACTGAGCTCCGCTGCCCAAGCCTACATCCCGTAAATGCTGGGGGATTACCAGTGACAGACCTCCACCAACAGGTGTGGGCACCATTTCCAACTTTCTGTCCCTCCTGTGCTGGAAGACTCGTGATATAATCACCCTAAGTTACCCCACCTGGCTGACAGCCAGAGAAAACGAAGCCATAGTATTTTTCGGTGTAAAAGAGAAAAGTAGCCTTGTTCCCAGACAAAGCATGGCAGGTGGTATGAGCACATGTCCCGGGCTCACACGGCACCTCTGCCACTTGCTGGTCCTAACACACTGGGCAAGCCATCTCTGTTTCCTCATTCATACAGTGGGAGTGATACCAAGTCTGGCCTCCTCCCGGTTATTGTGAAGATTAAATGAGACTATCTGTATCAGAGGTCAGCTGCCATTTTCTGTAAAGGTCCTGATGGTTATTTCTGGCTTTGTGGACCATACAGCCTCGGTCACAGCTATCCAACTCTACCACCGTAGTGTGAAAGCAGCCAGACAATATGTAAACGAATGGGTGTGTCTGTGTTCCAATAAAACTTTATTTACACAAACAGGAAGTGAGTCAGGTTTGGTCCACCGACCATAGTTTGTCAGCCCTTGATCGATATGAAGGGCTTAGCTCACAGGGCCGGCCCAAGGGAAGGGCTCAATCAGTGCTGCAGGGGCCAGGCTGCCACACACACCTGGAGTGTTCATGTCACTGAATAGTGACAGGGAAGATGAAAAGCTCTTTGCCTTCACATATGCCTATGCCCAAGCAAGCAGTGTTTGCTCATTGTCTGGACAAACCTTGTTGAATCTTGTTAGGAAACTTTGCTCATTGACGCTTGGCAAATAGCATTATTTACTTTTGTTGAAACAGCTTCAAGGAAATAACACATGTGAACAAACTAGAGGGAAGGAGGTTAGGGGTATTGAATATGTTTTTCCTCAGTTTATTATGCAACATTTGAGGCATCTGTAAAAGCGTAAAGAGTCATACTATAAATGCCCATGAACTGACCATCCAACTTGAAGTAAAAAACAAAAGGTTATTTTCCTTTCTACTCAGAGATACCCACATTCCTGGATTTGATGTTTATCATTTCTCTGCATTTCTTTATGTAGAATAGAGGTCAGCAAATTTTTTCTGTGAAGAGCCTGACAATAAATATTTTTAGCTTTGCAGGCATTACACTGTCTATCACAACTACTCAACTGTTCCATTGTAATGCAGAAGGAGCCATAGTATGTGAATGAATAGATGTGTCTGTTCCAGTAAAACTTTATTTTCAAAAACAGGCAGCAGGTCACTTTTGGCCATGGGCTTATGTAGAGTATTATTTTGCATGTTTTACAACTTTATGTACACTGTTTCTTTTAGTAGCCATTCTTTTTTTGAGAGCGAGAGAGTGCAAGCCATCCCGGGGTGGGGGTGGGGGGTAGGAGGGGCAGAGGGAAAAGGAGAGAGAGAATCCTAAGCAGGCTCCATGCCCAGCATAGAGCCTGACACGGGGCTCAATCCCACGACCCTGAGATCATGACCTGAGCTGAAATCAAGAGTCGGACGCTCAACTGACTGAGCCACCCAGGTGCCCCTAGTATCCATTTTTTTGACACTTGCTTTTTCCACCCAACTTATGTCTGTGACATTTATCCCTCTTCATGCATGCCGCTAGAATTCATTCATTTTCACTGCTGTATAATATTCCATTATTTGACTGTACCACAACTTGTTTATCTATTATACCCAGAACTTAATCACTTAAAACAACACTCTGATATATTATTTCTGGGCTTCTTTGGGTTGACTGGATGGGCTTTCTCCTGGTCTCCCCTGGTCTCTCTCACGCACCTGTATTTGGCTGGCAAGTCGGCTGGCATGGCTGAGCCTCTCTTTCAACCTGGCCTTTAATCCTGTGCTTGCTCACAGCATGCTGGTGTCAGGTTTCCAGAAGGGCAGAGGTAGAAGCTTCAAAGCCACTTGACGCCTAGTCTCCAAAACCCCCATCACTCAGCCACTTGTACCAGTCAAAACAAGTCACAAGGCCAGTGGAGATTCTAGGAGGTGAAAATAGACTCTACCTCTTGACAAGAGGAGGTGCAAAATATTGTGGTCGTGTTTTTTCAGTCTACCTGAGTACATCTGAATTTCTTAACAGAGAAGCAGGAATCTGCCCAAACAGGCAGTGAATCTGTTGGCATCTGATGGTGGGTGACATTGGAAACTCAGGAACCAAGAGAAAGAACTCAATACTCTGATCACAATAGACTTCACCATGTTTATCTTACAGAATCCTTTGACATCTTCCTGTTCTGCTCAAGAGAGAACAGTGGGCCAGCCTCAGTGCTGCCTCTAAAATGCAAGGGTGGGCTTTTCTTCCAGAAAAGTTTCTGGGTGTAAAAAGCAGGGACTTTCCTCCTTCTTTCCTTTGCTCCCTCATGGTTTGGAAACATTGTCTTCATTCACAAGACTGAATGGGTGAAAAGGAAGGAACCACAGTTACAAAACTGGACCCAGAACTAGAAATGTCCTTGGAAGAGATGTAAACAGTTTTTTTTTAAAGATTTTATTTATTTATTTGACAGAGACACAGTGAGAGAGGAAACACAAGCAGGGGGAGTGGGAGAGGGAGAAGCAGGCTCCCGGCTGAGCAGGGAGCCCGATGCGGGGCTCGATCCCAGGACCCCTGGGATCATGACCTGAGCCGAAGGTAGACGCTTAACGACTGAGCCACCCAGGCGCCCCGAGATGTAAACAATTTTAAGATACTATTTGACACCTGTAAGATAAACAGTTTATTACATTTTCAATAAAGATACAATATGTAGGCTACTGATGATGAATCAGGCCCCCTCCCTCAATACAGTCCCTTCTCTAGCCTGTTGCTCATAGAATCAGTGCCTGTGCTTTGGGGAAGCATGTCAGACTTTGGCTGGAGAGGGGACACATTTTTAACTGTGGCTTTTGGAGAAACAGGCTCCCCGAGCAGTAAGAGTGGAAGTCATCTTTACAGAGGAAGGATGGTTCATTTGACACATTCCTCCCAAATCCTGCTGGACATTAACCATACATGGCACTACTCCATAGAGTAGGAGGTTGAAAACTCGCTACCCTCAGAGCCAGGCGGAACCATGAAGCTGATTGCATGTGCAAAATATGAGCCTCTCTTGACCTGCCTTTCCCTTTCCCACTTTTGACAATGTCCTAGTATGTAAAAAAAAAAAAAAAAATACAACTGCAACAAAAAAATAGCACCTTAAAACAAGCATTAATGTCTCAGAGACAGTGCAGAATTTGTGGTGACCTGGGGAACCTACAGGGACAGTCTGCCTTCCCATGGGAATGCAGGCATGGTGTTGCTGGACCATCTTGTTGCTCAATTGAAGCCCTAAGTCCAGATTTTTTGGTGAAATCTCCTGATTTTTAAACAAAAGCAACTCATTTCAGATTTTCCTTAAAAATATGCAGGCCAAGCAAAATACATCTATAGACTTAACTTTGCCTGACAAACTACCAGTTTGTAGCTCCTGGTTTAGAAGCTGATAAAATTGTGTGCTGTCTTGACTCAGTAGTTCTTCTGTAAGTGACAGGGAAGCATCCTAATCATGTGTCCCCGGTGCTTCTTTTTCCTCCTTCCAAGGCATCAAGACAGAAGACAGCTTGAACCATTCCCCCAGCCAGAGTGGATTCCTCAGCTACGGCTCCGGCTTCAGCACCCCACCCACTGGACAGAGCCCGTACACCTACCAGATGCACGGTCAGTGTGGCGCTGCGGCCACTTCCTGTCCACGTCTAAGGCACTGTCTAAGTTAGGTGGTCAGTCATTCATTTATTTACTTGCCAGATTTCTTGAGCACCTACTATGTGCCAGAATCTATCTCGAGGAGTTAGAGCAGCAGACAGAACAGAATAGATATGAGATCTGCCCTCATAGCAAGTACATGGCAGGAGGGAGAGAGTGAAAATAAACAAGGCAACAAATAAACCAGCTGATTTTGGAAGAGGTTGAATGCCGTGAAACAAATAAACATGGTGTTTGGGTAGAAAGTGATGGGCCATTGAAGGGTCAGGAATGGTGGGATATGTAATTGTGGAGGGAGTCATCAGGGAAGACTCTGAAGAGATGACATTGGACAGAGACCCAAAGGGTGAGGCAGAGCCAGCCCTGCGTAGACCTGGAGGAAGAGCATTCCAGGCAGAGGGAATGGCCTGTGCAAAAGCTGTATGCGGGGAAAGGTCTTGGTATGTTTGTGGCACAGAACAGAGACCAGTGAGGCTGGAGCAGGGTCAGGTGATGTGGGACGAGAGAGTCAGAGAACAGAGCCAAATCATGCAGGGTCCTGAGGGCTGTGGGAGGAGCTGGTTTTGATTTAAGTGTGATAGAAAAGGCAAGTCCCTCGTAGACTCGTGGTGGGAGTTTGGGGCAGGCAGGTAAAGAAGCTGTAATTCCATGCAGGAGGTTCAACGCTCCCCATCACCCTAGGGTCGCCTTAGGGAAGAAAAGTCCAGTGTGTAGTTATTCCCATCCCACATCCCCTAAGCAACTGGCTTACCGGATTCTTCTGTCCCCACCTCCGCTCTTTGACCAACCGAGGACCCCTTCCCTTCTTACAGCCCCTTGGGAGCTGGGATGTTGGGGCTGATGCGTGGAGCAGAGGGCTGGTGGCAGTAATTTGGGGGATCCTCCTCCTGGTATTTTTTTCCCTTGATGAAAGCTGATAAAAATGACCATCAAGGATCTGAAAAGTAATATGCAAGAATGAAGGAGTTATGACAAGGCCGTGGGCTAATGAGTGATTGTACTTCCCTTAAAAAAAAAACAAAACTATTTGCAAGTCTTGTCACTTTATCTTTTTAAATTTTTTATTGAGGAATTAAGGAAACAATAAAAATGGATACCAAGGGCAGCCTTTCAGGGAAAAACATTGCAAAGGGACAGCAGATGATCTTGGAGTATGTGTAGAGAAAGGGGCTGAAGCGCATTGATGCCCGGCCCTTGCAATAGCTTCCTCGTAAAGGCCCGCATCAGAGTTTGCTGGTGACACTGTCAGCTAACACTGACCACACACTTACCCTGTGCCACATGGTCTTGTGGGGATCATCTTACACAGTCTTCATGGCAAAGCATTGGTGCTGGTTTAGATTTTACTGCACATGCAATGAAACCGACCGTGTCGAGCCTCTTAGTGGTCTGGCAGAATCCCGTCCCCCAGCCTCACCCAAAGCCCGTGCATGCTCTCTCACTCTCTTCTCCACTTCTGCTGTCACCTCTGGCTCCCCACAGTGGCCTGAGTCCCACTGAAGGGTACAAGCTGCTGGGACCCATCTTCAAGCGGGAAGTGAATTTTGGCACCAATCCTGATAATAAAGACTTGTGCAGACATGACCTTGAACTTGCATTTGGATCACTCTCAGGCCAGTGTTACTAGCTCTGCAAATAGAGATGGGACTTACTGCCTCAGGACTTCTAAGGCTGTGGAGGTTGAAGGGAAAACACATCCCCCCCTCCCCCATTCTGACACCCACCTCCTGCTCTGCAGGATAAGAAGTGCGTTCGTTCATGTAGGAGTGGCTCTCCATCCATCATTCTTTCAGTGTGTATTATTGAGTACAAGTTCTATGCCTGGCACCCTTTTAGGCCCTGGGGGGCACAGCCATCAACAATGACAGTCCCTCATAGAGAGAGACAGACAATAATCAATTAACAAATAAGCAGACTATTACTAATTTTGATAGAGCTTGTGAAGGACAAAGACAGAGCAGTGCGATGGGCAGTGACGAGGGAAGTGGTGGTTGGTATCACCCAGGTGGTTAGGGAGACCTGAGTGACGAAAAGGAGCCAGCTACTTGAGCACCTGGAGGCTCTCCCAAAGGAGAATCATGAATCTGGGGGCAGTGAGTAGGGAGGATGAGATTGGAAAGCAAAGCAGGAACCAGCCCCCTCCCCGGACCAGGATGTATAGAATATGTTATTTCTTCTCTGGTCCTTACAGGAGCCCCATGCTGAGGGTGCCATCACCTCTGCTTTACACATGATGAAAGCGAGGCTCAGAGAGGGGAAGTGACCTACCCAAGATCACACAGCCAATAAGTGTTCAGAGCTGGGAATTCAGAGTTGGGTTTCTAGAATTCCAGAGCCTGTGCTGATTCCTCCAAGTGCTCTTTCCGGGACTCCTTCAGGACTCTGTATAGCATCCTAAGCTGCGTATACACCATACACTATTCCCCTTCATCCTCCCAATAGCCCTATGACATAGGTTCTGTCGTTATCCCCATCTTACAGATGGGGAAGCTGAGGCACAAATTGGTAAAGTAACATGCCTAAGGTCACATGGCGGTGGCAGTGGGATTTCAAGCCAGACGGTTTTACTCCAGAGCCCAGGCACACAACCCTCACACCATCCTGCCCTCCCTCCTCTCATAGAACCTTCTAGAAGACGATTCTTCATGGATGAGCCCTGGCCTACACCCTGCCTCCCCACCTCAATCCCTACCAGTCCTTCACAAATTGAAAAACATCACCTGCTCTGTTCCCATCCAGGTTATTTTCTTATCGTCCTTGTGGCCCAGATGCCAGAAGGGCTGTGGCAGCAGCTGGACTCTGTCCCAATTAACTGCCTTCAGTCTAATGCTAATGGCCATAAGCTGCTCATGAGACAGCCCAGGCATTTTGCAAGCCTGACATAGTCCTCCTTAAGTATTTTTTTCAAACACAAACACACAGAACGCTCACACACCATGCCCATGTGCTTCCTATTAACTTTTTTTCAAGTTGTTCCAGAGGAGAAATAAACTCTCAAACTACTCTGTGTGTTTCAGAATGGAAGACGTCAGCTGAGCTTATTTTTCAGACGGGGAAGGGAATGAAGAGGGGACCCGAAAACATGAATAGAGTGAAATTGGTCCATATTTAGAAGCTGGGATAAGTCTTTCTCCTCTCTAGGAATTAAAATCATAATTTCATAGAAGCCAAAAAGCACCCAAGCAGGAACCACCCATCATTTTACAGATGGGCAAACTGAGGCACTGCCATGGAGTGGTTTGTGTAAGGTCACAGAGCAAGCATTAGATAAGCTGGGGTGCCTCCCCCTAGGTCTTTTTTTTTTTTTAAGATTTTATTTATTTATTTGATAGAGACACAGTGAGAGAGGGAACACAAGCAGGGGGAGTGGGAGAGGGAGAAGCAGGCTTCCCGCTGAGCAGGGAGCCCGACACGGGGCTCCATCCCAGGACCCTGGGTTTATGACCTGAGCCGAAGGCAGATGCTTAACGACTGAGCCACCCAGGCGCCCCTCCCCCTAGGTCTTCTACCTACTCTCATAAACTTCCAGAAACTTCCACGGGGTCATCATCCCTCAAGGCCCTGGTTTGAGATCTGTATCTGTTTGGATAACATTGCTCCTCCACCAAATGTGCAATAAACATAAAAGAGAAAAGTTCACAGCACTCGTTCAGCCTTCGCTTGGTTGTTTATTTTCTTTTTTTAAGTTCACCCAAGGGTTTTTGTAACTGAAATGTATTTCTTACGGGTTTGATTTTTTTTGTTGTTTCTTTTCGCTTCTCCTGCTGAAACTGCTATTCGCAGAAATGGCCTAACAATGAAAAAGAAAGGAAGAAAATGTCTTGAGAGTGTATTGTAAGAACTTGCTGGAGCCATGCAGGGGTTGAGAGCCCAGACCTGGGCTGCAGTCACGCCTCGCTGTGTCCCACACGCTCCATGAACTTGGGGAAGGCACTTGACTTCCCTCTGTCTGTTCCCTCACCTGTGAACTGGCATCCTAGCAAAAGAGATGACCTCACGGGACTCTCGGGAGGTCTAATTGGAATGATTCCTGAGCATATCAGAGGAGGTCCATAAAGGCTGGGTGCTCTTTTTATTATTCCTGTTATTTTTTTTAATTTTTTTTTATTCTTATGTTAATCCCCATACATTACATCATTAGTTTTAGATGTAGTGTTCCATGATTCATTGTTTGTGC